AGCCTACTCTTTGTGAAGATGAAGAGGATGGAGACTTTTATGATCCACTTCCACTTAATGAATAGTAAATACATGATCTCTTCCTTAAATTTTTCTTAATAACATTTTCTCTGGCTTACTTAATTATAAGAATACATCTGGGACAGATAGGTAACAGTGAAAAAATTATGTCATACATATAACAAAAAATATCTGTTAATCACCTGTTCATATTATTGGTAAGGCTTCTTTTCAACAATAAGGTATTCATAGTCAGATTTTGGAGAGTCAGAAGTTATATGTGGATTTTTGACTGCATAGGGGTTGGGAGCCCTAACCCCCATGTTGTTCAAGAGTCAATTATTGTGCATGGGATTTTGGTTTTCCTATCTTGCTGGCACTGTGTATTTTTATGGGAATTTGAAGAGCTAAAAATAAACAATTGGGTAGCCACTAGCATCTTCTCAGAACCCTTACCATTAGTTTTTATGTCCCTTCTATGGTCTCCTCCCATTCCATCTCCTTTCTTCTGCCTTCAGAGATAACCATTATCTTTAACTTCATGATGCCCAGTGAAATAACTAGAAGCAATAAAAGTGCCCATCCACAGAAGAAAACAGATAGTTATTAATATAATGATATTATATAATAGAGTTTAAGAATTGCTTTCCTAAAATAAATCTCTTAAGCATATACCAAGAAAAAAATGTTGCTTATGTACAGATATATACAAGAATGTTTTTAGAAATGCTATTTATGATAGGGAAAACTGGGAACAACTCTCTGTCAACAGATAAATTATGACACATTAATTCTGTTGTGGTAAAGACTGGCACATAATAAGAATAAATCTCAGGGATAGAACTTAAACAGAAAAATACATATGATTCTATTTATAAAGCTTTCAAGAACTATATTGTTTATGGATATAAACATATGCTGAAACTACATAAAAAAGCTAAGATTTGTTTTCAGCCTTATGTTAGTAAGATTCATCTGTGTTTGTAGCCATCGAACATACCTTCCTTCTGCTATATATAGTCCATTATATTTCCATCTTTATTTTGTTTGTTGGTAGCATTTTTATTGCTTCTAGGTGTTCTATTAGGCATTATAAAACAACAATAATAGCAATTACTTACATGGCATTTATTGTGTGTCCCAGATAGTTTCTAAGTGTTTTAGTTATTTCACTTAAAACTGAGAAGAACTCTGTGAAGTAGGTATTATTTTATTCAATTACATGTTAAAGAGCATGTAATTGAGGCAAAGAGGGATTAATAACTTGCCTAAGGTGTGACAGGTACTGCGTAGTTGAAGCTGTGATTCAAACCTGGGGTATCTAGTCCTTTAATCTGTACTTACATAGTATATTATTTTGTGCTTTAGAAACAGGAACGTTATTTCTGTTCTTTAGAGATCCTTAAATATAAAAGATGATGCTGTCTTAAAGACAGTATATTTTACTATTTTCTTTTTTACAGTTTCCATATTTAGAACAGTCTCTGCTTCATTTGATTTTAATTTGAGAGATAAAATGGTGTTAGAAATGTTTTTAAACAAGCAAGCAAGGTCATCTTTAGTATAATAGCTCATAGTGTATACATCTGGAAATTAGCACCATCTACTGGTAAAGAAAAACAATAACTTGGTTTGGAAGATAGCATACACTTTCACAGGTTTTTCTTTCTTTCTTTTTTTTTTTAAAGCTGTTTTTGGGGAAATTAAGATTTTATAATTTTTAAGTACTTTTGTGCCCCAGTATATATATTTTTAAACTTCCAAGTATCAGTTACTATATATGGCACATCTGTGTAAATGAGACTACATTTAGATGAGAAAAAATACAACAAAAAGTATCATTTTATAGGGGTCATTCTGTCTGTATTTTTCAAAGCATGTACAAAAATTGTCAGAGTGATAAGAGCAAGAAAAAAGCTGTCATATTGGACTAACATAAACTGTATTTAGTTTATCACTGTGTTTTGGCTTAGTTAAGTGATACTGTCTTCGATAGAGGAGTAGAATTGATAGTAGAGTGAAAACAGAGTTAGTTCTTGGTGACTAAGCCTGGGAAGCTTCTCTCTGCGCAACTTTTTGTATTAACCTAAATTCCACACTCATTTTTTTCTCAAACTGTTTGAGATTTCATTTGTTAGTGGCCTAGGATCTTGTTTGTACCCCGTTTGAGACTTTTAGTCTTTTGTTATTATTTTCTCTCCATTAACTTAACCTATACAAGTTAAATGTATGAGAAATCAAGTGTTTTCTCATTCTGTTTCTTCTTTCTTTTTCCAATATGTTTTCTTTAGGCACTGTACAAGTTAAAGTTACCTTAGATATGACAATTTTAATTAAAGGTGAAATTATGTTTACAGAAGAAGTTACAAGGTGATTACATAATAAGTGTTGGTTGAGGGATTTATTAAAAGAATTTTAAAAAGCTAATTTGTAGTGGGAGGGAGAGTAGGGGAGGGATAATGTGGGGAGAAATGTCAGGTATAGGTGATGGTGGCATAGATGGGGGGATGGTGGCAACACACCACTTTGCCATGAATGTACCTATGCAACAATCTTGCATGATCTACACATGGACCCTAGAATCTAAAGTACAATAAAAATAACATTTAAAAAAAAAACAAATTTGTTATAGAGCAGGAATGGTTGTTCAGGATGCCATTGGTCTGGTATGTTTACTTGTAAGTCTGCTGAGCACAATTATATTTTTGCCCTGTGCCTACTGAACTCTCAAATGAAAACAGTTTTTTTTGTTAAAAAATGTTAGCTTATTATAGGTATGCTTTAGAAAGATCTGATTAAATAGAAGAGTTGCAATGATTGCAAATTTTATGTCTTATACTATAATGTCACATAGTTGAATGTAAAAGTTGAAGACTGCTATTGTAATAGTATAAGTTTTTAACTCACGTTAAAGTTAGGCTCAGTGTAAGGAATGAAAATGAGGTCAGTTGTAATATTCTTTTTGTTGTTTTTTGAATATTTTACTTTTGGGCACTGAGTACTGCTAAGGTGAAAACAAATCCCCCTTAATGTAATCTATAATAGAAACAAAAATATTTATATTTTATTAAAAATACATTTAAAAATTAAGTGTATATACTGTTCCTGCACGACCTTATCAACTACTCAGAAATTAGTCTATGTTCAAAGAGAGAAGTATACAGAGGCTTTCAAATTTTCTATGAATGTATACAAATTTTAAATCAAACTAGTTGTTTTTAAAAATCTCATATAAACATGTAAAATATGAAAGCCATGGCCGGGCGCGGTGGCTCAAGCACTTTGGGAGGCTGAGGCGGGTGGATCACAAGGTCGAGAGATCGAGACCAACCTGGTCAACATGGTGAAACCCCATCTCTACTAAAAATACAAAAAATTAGCTGGGCATGGTGGCGTGTGCCTGTAATTCCAGCTACTCAGGAGGCTGAGGCAGGAGAATTGCCTGAACCCAGGAGGTGGAGGTTGCGGTGAGCCGAGATCGCGCCATTGCACTCCAGCCTGGGTAACAAGAGCAAAACTCCATCTGAACAACAACAATAACAACAACAACAACAAAATGAAAGCCATACAAATGGTTTTCAGAAATCTTTTTACTACTCTCAGATAGTTTATTCTTTCTCAAACTCTTTCATTATCAAGTAATTCTTTGATTTGATATATTTTATATTTTGTCTCCAGATTGACTGCTAATAAATGATTTAATTCAGGGCTACTTTTCATCATGCTGAGTTTTAGGTTAGAGGGCAACAAGATGAATGATTCCTGTCATCTAAGAACTATTATAATTTATTATGAGCATTACAGCCTTTTTTTTATATTATAAAGAAAAATGTATAAAGAGCTATTTTTAGGCATAGGAACCAATTGGTTTTGTTATACAGAGCCATCAGAATGTTGTCTGAGCTGAGATGATGAAATAAAACAAAACTCCCAAAGTCAATGACTATGGTAATATCTGAGTGGGACCTTGAAGAATAGGAAGGAATTGGTAAGTGGAGATGAGGAAGAAAGGGTGCTTTAGGCTAAACAAACTATTGTTATCTTTTTATTTAGTTGCTGAAGCAATATTTTGGCAAACATTTCATATTTCACGAACATTGAAGATTCTGACTTTATGAATTATGATTACAAAAAGATTAATAGCTTCTTTTAAAAGAGATATATTCTTTAATACCATGAGTTTTATATCACCCCATTAAAAAGAAGATATGTTCTACGTTAAGCACAAAATTGTCTGCCAGAGTATTTTGGGAATGGAGCAAAAAAAGCAGTATGTTTTCCAGTAGATCTTACTGCTAGTATTTGAACAGATGCTTAAAACAAATGAAGTTTAAAAAAATAATTTACCAGAGATGGGGTGAATTATTTTTAATCACAATTTAATTTGGTTAAAACTTAAACTTAGTGAACTAAATTAAAGAACAAGCCTCAAATTCTTTCAGCTGTATGGAAATACATTTTTTCATAATACAAATCTGCCTCCTTATGAGCCGTCATGTATCTTTGTATAGATTGCAGTTTATGAGCTGCACAGTGGGGCACAGGTGAGTATGTTAGTTGGGGTTGAATTGTAGCCCTTGCTGTTACCAAAGGGCCTTTCTCTAATTAATTCTCCCAGAGAACAAAGACACTGTATAGGAGTCCCTATCCCTGGAATGATTATACATTTGTTTGGTTACTGGATTCAGCATTTAACTTCTAGAATGATATAGGCACAAATTAAGAACTCACTAAATATTTCATATATCTGTAAAGTATTCAGAAGTCCACAATTCACATTCTCCTCTGATCATGACTTTTTGGCAAATTACATATGTTTCATGTGATTTGAAAAACTAACTCCCTACCCAAGCAGTGGTTTTATTAAATTCAAGTTCAATGTTTATATGGAAAGTTCCATTTGTTGTGTTTTGCCAAATTGTTATTGCTGTTAGGTTGGATTGTAATTTCTGTTCTTCTGACTCCATTCATATATTAAAATGTTTAAATTTTATTTTCAGGTATATTACATTTTTTTGCCCACATGACCTAGTTTCCCAGGGGTATTCACATCTACCTGTTCGACTACTGGCTTCAGGAATGAAGGAGGTGACCAGAACTTGGAAAATAGTTGGTGGAGTCACACATGCTAATAGCTTTTACAAAAATGGCTGGATAATCATGATAGCTATTGGATGGGCCCGAGGTAATATTAACAATATGTGTTCATAAATACTCTCTTATTGGTGTATTATTAATACCGTTACTGAACAATTCTCTAGTTAAATTAATAATATTTTAATAACAGACTTCTGGAAAGTAAAAACCTTGTTTCTGTTGGCTAGCAAAGTTAATTCAAAACTAGTACTAGTCATAAGCCGTTATTTTGAGCCTGTCTTATAATAGAAAATTTTTATGATTGGTTGGATTAAGATCCCCAGAACCAGAAAGATTTATAGTTAATTAAGATATAGTGCCACTGTAAATAAATAAGTTTACATAAGAAATTATGTGGTACATGTGAATAAAAAATACTGCTCTTTGTGTGTATTTTTTTTTTTCTTTCAGGATTACGAGAAATAGTAAATATGATTGACTCTGGGTTCATGATCACTGAACTTTGCATCACTTGCCTTTTTGTTTTGTATGTAGGAATTTAACAAATTTCTCTAAACTCCTTTTACAATATACTGCACCTAAAACCAGTCATATCAGGAAAGGAAATGATAAAGCAGAAGATTTTATTTTTCAGTTCTAAAATGAACCTCTAGCCATACCTTTGTGCCTGAGGTCCCAATTATAGTACGGTAGACAGTTGCCATGCTGATGAAAGAGAAGAATTACAGTTGTTTTAGTGCCCTAAATAGATGAGGCAACTTTCTTCTTCTTCCCAAGAATTATATTTTGGAAATCCTCTTGGAATTTTTTATCAGGTGATAGAATTATGGTTCCTTTAAAATATTTTTTTCAAGAAAATTTGGATAACTATTTTTGTTTTATTTTTGTATTTTTAGGTGCAGGTGGTGCCATTATAACGAATTTTGAGAGGTTGGTAAAAGGAGATTGGAAACCAGAAGGTGATGAATGGCTGAAGATGTCATAGTAAGTTGATATAAACTATACCGAGACCTAGATGTTTATCCTTAGATCTTACCAACTTTCTTTTTAAGAACATTTTGGGGACTTTAAATGTGGATGGAATATAGCTGAAAAAATAAATAGTAATGATAATGGGAAGAGAACTAGCAAATTTTATTCTTTTAAAAAGTCTGCTCTCTCAAATGTAGTTTAAAACATATGCTTTCCTTCTCTGTGGGTTACTCTCCTTAGAAAACAAAACCAAACAAAAACTTCTAGATTACAGTAGACTTGTGGGTAGAGTATATATTTATGAAGTGAAAACTACATCGGCATAGATATCTCTGGATGGAAATGAATTAGTGATAGGCTCTTGGCTTTTTCATTAATGACTATGACATCATCCAGATTTCAGTTTATATACATAGTTTTGATAGTAAAATGTCAAGTTTATGGGAACAAATCAATACGTTATCATAAAGTCCTTTCAGTTGCTTTAAAAAATGACAGTTGCGCTTAATTACAGATAAAAATAAGAGAACGATTAGAGAAATAACCCATTGTGTGATGCAGACTGCCTTTTGCATCTATTTAAGAAAATCTGTTCTCCGAAGACGCTGACTCATTCTTATTTATTAATTTTTTTAAGAGACAGATTCTCTTTCTTGTCACTCAGGCTGGAGTGCAGTGGTGTAGTCAGAGCTCACTGCAGCCTACCTCTTGGGCTCAAGTGATCCTTCCACTTCAGCCTCTCACATATTAATAGTTGGTACTGCAGGTGTGTGCTATCATGCCTGGCTAATTTTTGTATTTTTTTTTTTTTTGAGACAGGATCTTGTTCTGTCACCCAGGCTAGAATACAGTGGTGCGTTGGGCTCAAGTGACCCTTCCATCTCAGCCTCCTGTGTAGTTGGGACTACAGGCATCTGCCACTGTGCCCTGCTAATTTTTAAAATTTTTTGTAGAGACAGGGTCTCATCTCAATATGTTGCCTAGGCTGGTCTTGAACTTCTGAGCTCAAGCAGTCCTTGTACCTTGGCCTCCAAAAGTGCTGGGATTACAGATGTGAACCACCATACCCAGCCAGTATTTTTATTTTTGTAGAGATGGGGTCTTACTATGTTGCCCAGGCTGGTCTTAATTTTTGCCTCAAGTGATCTTTCTTCCTTGGTCTCCCCAGGGGCAGGGATTACATAATGAGCCACTGTGCCTGGCTGGACTCAGTCTGTTTTTTTTTTGAGATGGAGTTTCGCTCTTGTCATCCAGGCTGGAGTGCAATGGCATGGTCTTGGCTCACTGCAGCCTCCGCCTGCCAGGTTGAAGCAGTTCTCCTGACTCAGCCTTCCAAGTAGCAGAGATTACAGGTGCCTGCCACTACGACTGGCTAATTTTTTTATTTTTAGTAGAGGTGGAGTTTCACCATGTTGGGCAGGCTGGTCTCAAACTCCTGACCTCAGGTGATCCACCCGCCTTGGCCTTCCATAGTGCTGGGATTGCAGTCATGAGCCACTACGCCTGACCAAGACTCAGTGTTAAAAAAGTCACAGATATATTTCTGATACACTTAAAAATGAAGAAGAGAAATATAGTTACTGTTCTCATAATTCAAGAAGGAAAAGACTTAGAGAATGTTGGCTATAATAAGCAAGATGAGGAAAGACTTAATATAAAAATAAACTCGTTTTCTAATTTAAATTGGGTTAAAAATAGATCATAAATGGATTAAAAATGAAGGTTGAGGCTGGGCAAGGTGGCTCATGCCTGTAATCCTAGTGCTTTAGGAGGCCGAGGCGTGCAGATTGCCTGAGCTCAGAAGTTCAAGACCAGCCTGGGCAACATGGTGAAACCCCATCTCTATTAAAAATATAAAAACTAGCTGGACATGATGGTATGTACCTATAATCCCAGCTACTTGAGAGGCTGAGGCACAAGAATCACTTGAACCTGGGAGGCAGAGGTTGGTGTGAACTGAGATCACACCACTGCACTCCATCCTGGGTGACAGAGCCAGACTCTTGTCTCAAAAAGAAAAAAAAAAGAAGAAGGTTGTGAAAGGCAGTATGAGCGACGAAGTACATATGCGTGAACTAACACATTCCAGGATATTGGAAAGTACCCCTTTAAGCTTGAATGAAGTAGTTAGAAATAGAACAAAGGAGGCTTTGATTAAAGATAAGTTATAAATAAGATATTCATGATATTCAGGGGAGATTTTTATCATTTTGAGTATAGGCCTTGAAACACCTTCCATAAAACATTTTTTTTTGGCTTTTATAGCTAAAATCAAATTATGTTTCTACTTTGTTCAAGACCTTGCATTGACTCCTGTAAATGGTCTATAAGGCCCTTCAAGGTGTGCCTTTACTCCTTTCCAGATTGCTTTGATTTAATCTCTTGCTATTATCTCCCTTGCTCACTCTATGCTTGAGCAAGTCAAGTATGGTCTGGTTTAACACTAGCTTTTATCACTACCTGGAATGATTTTTCTTAGATGGCTGACTCCCTTATCTACTTTGCTCAAAGTATTTCCTCAATGTTTCCTTCTCCTGAGGACTACCTTGCTTAAAATTGCAACACCTCCTTCTTTACTTTTTTCTACAACATTTATCACCTTCTAACATGTTTTATAATTTACTTGGTCATTATGTTTATTTCCCCTCCCCTTGGCTCGTCTTCCTACCCTTCAAAGAATATAAAATGCCAGGGACAGAGATTTTTGTCTTGTTTGAGTGCTCTTGTGTCCCAAGCACCTAGCACATAATAGATAAAACATACTAGATGACTGTATGAATTTTCAACAGCTGGGTCAAGTGAGATTATTTGGTTCATTATGATGGTTTGTGTTTATGTATATAGTCATGTGTTGCTTAACGATGGGGATATGTTCTAAGAAGTGTGTCATTTCATCATTGTATGAATGTTACCAAGTGCACTTACACAAACCTAGATGATATAGCCTACTACACACCTAGGCTATATGGTATAGCCTATTTCTCCTAGGCTACAAATCCTTACAACATGTTACTGTAGTGAATGTTGTAGGCAATTTTAACATAATTATAGGTATTTGTATATCTAAACATATCTAAACAGAAAAGGTACGATTAAAAATATGGTATGAAGGATAAAAAATGGTATACCTGTATAAGGTACTTACCAAGAATGAAGGGGGCAGGACTGGAAGTTGCTCTCTGTGAGGCATTCAGGAAGTGGTAAGTGAAGACCTAAGACATTACTGTATACTACTGTAGACTTTATAGACACTGTATACTTAGGCAATACTAAATTTATAGAAAAAATTTTTCTTTAATAGTAGATTAACCTTAACTTACTGTAACTTTTTTAGAAAAAATCTTATTTTTAAAATTTTTTATTTTTACTTATTTTGGATACATAATAGTACATATTTATGGGGTACATGTGATATTTTGAACCAGGCATACAATGTGTAATGACATCAAGGTACTTGGGACATCCATCACATCAAGCATTTATCATTTCTTTGTATCAGGAACATTCTAATTCCACACTTGGTTTTTTTTGAGACATTCATTAAATTATTGTTAACTATAGTCTCCCTTTTGTGCCACCAAATACTAGATTTTATTCCTTCTAACTATAATATTTTTACTTGATAAACTTAAAATTTTTAAAAACTTTTTGAAGCTTTTGTAGTGACACTTAGCTTAAACACAAATGCATTATACAGTTGTACAAAAAATTTTCTTTCTTTGTATTCTTATTCTATAAGTGTTTTTCTATTTTTAAGATTTGTTGTTTTTTATTTTAAATGTTTTTTTTTTGTTAAAAATGAAGACACAAACACACACATTAGCCTAGGCCTACACAGGATCTTCAATATCATCATCTTCCACCTCCACATCTTGTCCCACTTAAAGGTCTTAGAGGCAGTAGCACACGTGGAGCTTTCATCTCTTGTAATAGCAATGCCTTTTTCTAGATTATTTCCTGAAGAATCTGACTGAGGCTGCTTTATGGTTCACTTTTTTTTTTTTTTAAATAATAGAAAGAGGCTAGGTGCAGTGGCTCGTTTCGGTAATGCTATTACTATGGGAGACTGAGGCAGGCAGGTGGCTTGAGCCCTGAAGTTCAAGACCAGCCTGGGCAACATGACGAAATCCTGTCTACAAAAAATTACAAAAAACATGAGCTGGGTGTGGTGGCAGTGTAGTCCCAGCTACTCGGGAGGCTGAGGTGGGAGGATTACCTGAGTCTGGGAGGTTGCAGGGAGCTGTGATCAAGCTACTCTACTCTAGCCTGGGCTCTGAAGGTGAGACCCCATCTCAAAAAAAAAAAAAAAGTACAGTGTATAAACCAGTAACGTAGTTGCTTATGATCATTATCAAGTATTATGTGCTCAAACAAAGCTGGAGACATCATGTTACCAGACTTCAAACTATACTGTAAGACTAAGGTAATCAAAACAGCCTGGTACAAAAACAGACCCACAGACCAGGGAAACAGAATAAAGAACACAGAAATAAAACCTGCACATCTACAACAATCTTGTCTTCGACAAAAGCAGCACAAGTAAGCAGTGGGAAAGGCACTATTGATTCAGTAAGTGGTGCTTCGAAAACCGTCTAGCCATATGCAGAAGATTGAAAATGGACTCGTATCTCTTACCATATATGAAAATTAACTCAAGATAGATTAAAGATTTAAATGTGAGATCTTGAACTATAAAAATCCTTGAAGAAAACCTAGGAAATACCCCTTTTTACATAGGCTTTCGCAAATAATTTATGGCTAAGTCTCCCAAAGCAATTGCAACAAAACCAAAAATTGACAAGGGGGAATTAATTAAAGAGCTTCTGCACAGCAAAAGAAATGACCAACAGACACATCCTGAGAGGGAACTGAAAAAAAAAATTACCAAGAGTAGACAGGCTACAGAACAGGAGAAAATACTTACAAACTATGCTTCCAGCAAAGGTCTAATATCCAGAATAAGTTCCCCTGTAGGGAACTTAACCAACAAACACCAAAAAAATCCAATTAAA